GTTACTGTACTGGATTTGAGGGATGATTTTCAGGTGGGGCATTATCTGTGAGTCTCTAACACAGCAGAATATCAAACAAGAGGGAACACATTTAGATCAAGTGGAGGAAATGTTGATCTGCCAAAAGAAATGGACTACTTAGAGGCTGTCGAAATCCTTTCCCTGGAGATAGTTAAGGAAGAACAGAGATTCGTATCTCTTGAGGGAGGGACATGATCAATCAAGTCTGTTTGAACGCAGGACAATGGGCTCTTGGGTCATGATTTCACAATTATCCTCAAATGATTGTCATGATTTCCAAGCTCAGAGATCTTGATGTGGAGACATCCCACTCTGGCAGTGCAAAATCAGGGAAGATTTCAAAAGGAATAGGCATCTGAAGTAGGCCCTGAGTGAGACCTTGACAATTAGGAATAAAGAGAAAGGCAATTCTAGGTAAGTGAAACAAAGGCAAAGAAGCAGCACATAAATGAGGTAAGTGACTATAACACCTCAGAATTAATGATGCAGATTTAGACATTAGTAAGTCCACACTTTGAATCCAGGCTGTACATCTTACTAGTCACATGACCTAGAAGGCTTCTAAGCCTCAACTTTTTCATCTATGTAATGAGAAAATGATTTAAAAAAAAAGAAGGAAAAAAAAAAGTTTCAGAGAGCTGTTGTCAGGATTAAATGAGACATACATGGAAGAGATAGCAAAGTGTAGTACACAGTAGGTACCTAATTAATGGTATAATAATAATATTAATGTCAATAATTACTACTATGAAAAGGAAAGTGATTCAACTTAACTGGAAAATTGAATGTGTATAAGTGAATAATGGAAAGATAAGATGAGTACACTACCATATTCCATAATATGTACCTTCCAGGGAAATTATCCTATTTCTCTGCATCAATCCAAAAAGCAAACTTCCTATGAATCTCCCACACCTGGTTAGTTGCTCCGTTCTCTGCTCTCAAAGCACTAGGAATATGCCTCTGTTAGAGATCTTGGCCCAGAGAACTATGAGCATTGGTGTGACTCAGCTCCATGAAGACAAGTGTGAGTCCTGTTGCATTTTCTAGCCTTGTTTCCGATGCATGCTTGGCATACAGCTGGAGCTCAGAGATGTGTAAGTGAGTTACTTGCTTTTCTAGCTGCCTCTGGTACTTCCCTCCTGCAAAGGGGCAAAAGAAGCTCTGTGTTTTGATTTCCGTCAGCACCATGCAGGAGACCTGGGAGGAGGGCACCCGTGCCCAGGGCAGGGCTGACCTCTGCTTGCCATGTACCCCAGTGGTTCTGGTGCTCTTGGGACTCACAGTGACCTTGGGCTGGTAGAGCTACAACCAGATCCTAAGCCTGAGCCACATCTTCTTAGTAAACCATGGAGCTGCATTTAATGAAATCTCAACCTAAGAAGTGTCCCATGGAATGAGAGACTCATTCTTCTTTTCAATACTTCTCCATTACTCAGCATGGATCTGTAACAGAGACAATTTGCCAGTTTAGTGCATTACCTAAAGCACCAAGGTGACTGTCTGTTCTAATAACATAAAAAACATGATTAGATTCCAAGTCTACCTGTGATGGAGTAGAAAGAACCGTAGACTGAGACAGTGTGGGTCTGAATTTGGTTCAGCCTCATGTTAGTTCTTTGGATCTTCTAAGCTATTCGGTCTCTCTGTATCATCTTCTGACAGTAAAGTGACAATAATCATGCCCACCTTACAGGGTTTTCATGAAGATAAAGGGATTTGTTTATCTGTTTGCTTACTCATTCATTTATTCATCTTTCATATTCTGATTCAAGAAAGAAAAGATAGTTTCTGTGGTAGTTTGAAAATTGTACCATATAAATGCAAAGTGTTATATTATCCTCAAGTGTCTTCAAAGTGTTCCTATAAAATAATTACTGTCCAGTTTTATTAAGACAGCCACAAGGAAGAAAGGTTGTCAAAAAAATCAAATACTCAGTAAGTAACCAGCTCACTGAATTATAATAGGGTGTAATTCCCCATGTTCACGTAATTTAAAGTGAATCCCGTCTTTAAAAATTAAATGCATAAATCATTTTATCTATTATGGTCTTATTTCAATGTTGTGAATATTTTGACCATTGTGAAGGATCTTGAATTTTTGTAGGCTATTTTCAATAATCAATAATATTGCTTGTTTGAGGGCAGTAATGATCCTGGCATGACTGTTTTTTAAACACCTGAATATTATTCAGAAACAAAATGTAAGAGAGAATCTGAAAGGAAAAAAAAAAAAACTTAGATATAAATCAATCATCAAAATGGAATGTGGGTTGTTAAGATTCAAAAGCAATAATTTCCAACCACTGGAAAATTAATGGTAGTCAACTCTACTATTATTGGTTTACCTAAGGACTTCTACATGCCGAACACACACACACAGAGCAGAATGCAGTATAATTTGGTGAAAAGGTAATGGCATATGGAGTAAGGAAAAAAAATCAATCCTCCCTTTTCTGAGTCAAGTGCTCGTAAGTAATACAAACCACTTAATCTTGACACTCAGTTTCCTGTAAATTCTGTAAAACAAAGATTGCAATACCCACCTTACTTACCAGGATTGTGAAAATCAAATGAATTAATATACATTAAAAACTTAAAACAGTCACATTCCTTTTCCTACAAGCCTATAGTGTTGCAATTGCTGCTTAAACATTAAAATCTATATTTATGATATTGGGTCTGGACATTGATAGACAGCCTCAGAAATATATACTTTTTTAATCTATGTGGAAAAAGTACAATTCTGGAGGTGTATAAGAAAGTGACCACAACAACCTGGGTAAAAACTTCTAGAATCTTGACACTGACCATCAAACTTCCTCCCATCCTCCTCCCTCCTTCCTCCTCAATATGGAAAGAAGGAAGAACACCACAGCTACCACAGTAAAATGGAAGGGGCACCAGGAGATTCCAAACTCTTTAGCCCTAGGTCTCTAAACCTGATGTGTTATAATCTGCCCATTTGTTGTTCTTGCTCTTTCCCATCCCTTGACAAGGTTATGAGCCTGCAATGTGATGGCCTGCTTTTGACCATTTAGTGGATCTCTTTTCTATTTATTCTAGTGATTAATCTGGGATTTCAGCAAAATTAAAGTCACCTCTCTGAGAAATTTGAGTATTACAACTATGCTTCCTACTAGTGCAGTTTGTCATGCCTGTGGGGATTCAGAAAGCTCTCCTGATTCTGCTATGATCTTAATTTCTGCCAGTTAAATGATTTATTTCACAAGTTGAGCCCAAAATATGATACACACACACACACACACACACCTGCATGCACAGACTCATGTGCTCAAGAACATTTTCCTAAAATTGTTTGAATATTCTATCTACATTTACCAAACACAGTGTTTGTACTTTTATGCCCTGTGCTCTCAGATTGTTGGGGCGAAGGGAAGCAAAGTGTCCATGCTCATCAGACACAAAACTGTAAGACCTAAGATTGTCCTTTATGATTACAGAGAAGACAGTGCAGGCTCATAACATTGTCAGGGGATGGGAAAGAGCGGGAACAACAAATGGGCAGATTATAACACATCAGATTTAGAGACCAGACCCTAGGGCTTAAGAGCTCGGAATCTCCTGGCGCCTCTTCCGTTTTACTGTGGTAGCTGTGGTGGGTTTCTTCCTTCTTTCCACACTGAGGAGAAAGGAGGGAGGAGGCCTGCCGTTCAGGTTGGGCACTTGGGAGTCATTGACTGCTGCAGTCACATTAATTATTCTCTGACTCTGTGGATCTTAGACTGGAGAACAGGGACACTGCAAGTTGCCTGCTGTGCTGGATTCTATACCAAATGCAAAAACAAAACTCCCTCTTATCAAGAAGTTACTTTTCTCAATAGTATTTCTCTAATGATCACATATTGTTTCCCAGAAAGTACTCCTAAATTATTTAAGAGGAACAGCCTGTCACCCTGTGCATTAAGATTTGCCTGTGCACATTCAGTTCTTAAGGTGCACTTGATCTCATTCTTTTGGCTTTGGGAGGAAAATGACAACAAAGGAGTTTTTTGTCGTTTGTCTGTTTGTTTGTTTGAAAGGGTTGCTTTTCTTTTATATGGGTGAAGAGGAAATTATTAGGATTGTCTCCTAAAGTGAAATTATAAATTAGAGAAATCAACTATTTCCTCCAGCCTGATTGTGTCCTATTATCACAATATGATCAGTGATAAGCAATCACCAAATAAAGCAAACATTTCATAATAATTTAGCTCTGGCCCTTTTTAGTGAAATAATACTTTGGCCTTTAATTCACGGTAATAGCCTGCAGGTAAATCAAAAGAATAGCAAAAAGGAAAAAAAAAAAAAGAAGTGGGTGACATTTCAGAGAGCACGGAATTGCGAAGCGAGTGAATGGGAGGCAAGAATCATGAGACAAGAAAATGGGGGAAACAAGACGAAAAGGAATAGAAGGGAGGGGAAAACGGAGACCCGGGAGGTGAGGGAGGGGGTAAAGAGAGAGGCAAACAGGGAAGAGATTGCAGGTAAAAATAAAACAGAAAAAGCCCAGGTGGAATTCATGCAAACTGTTCTCATCAACACTGCTACTCCCTCCTGTCACAGGAACTGTCAAACAGGCTCCGCTCGTAATGAAAGGAAAAATATTTTATTCAGATTTATTAATTTGAAAATGAAGCCCGCCTGTCGAGAGGGGGACAGTTCTTCTCAATCTGTCATCGTTGAACCACACGCTCCTGACACCGGGATTCATTTGTCTTGTCGGCTCTGACAGTTGGATTCTCCCAGAGCTCTTCCTAGTGGATCGCCCTGGGATTTTAAACCGGATGAAACACATTCCGACAAGGAACAGCCTCTTTATTAATGCAAATTACATGAGGAGGAGAGAAAAAAGAGAGAGAAAGAGAGAGACGCCAGCAGCCGCTCTGGTGTTCTTATCCCTGTATCAGTCATTTGTTATTTACATTTATACACATTTTTCAGTTTTAATAAAAGGAGACCCGGATTTTCAGTGACATTTATGGACAGTTTGTTTCAAAAAAAATGATGCCATCACTATAATTGTATGCAAAAAGAAAAAAGCCCAGGACCGCATTCCCCTCTGTTGTGTGCGCCGCATCCTGGGAGCCGGGCCGCGCCTCCTCGGCGCAGGCGGGTCGCAGGAGCCTCGCCCGCTCCGGGAATCGCGCTTCCAGCGGCCGCAGCCGGGCCACCGCCCCGCGGTCCAGGCCGCCTCCGCCGGCGCCGGGCGGTCCCACCTGCGCGCTGCTCCGGGCGGTCCGGCCTTCGCTGCTCCCAGATTCTGCCCCGACGGCCGTGGAGGCCCTCCCCTTTGTCTCCGGGCCAGAGCGTTCAGCAAAGCGCTGCGACCGCTCGCCCACTGGGACATTTGACATAGTGCCTGCTTTTGGAGGGGCCCACGACAAAGCTTGCATGGTAATTTCTTGTAGAATCAGAAGAAGTCCTAATGGAAATGGAATCATGAAGGCAGCCTGGATTATACTGGTCTTCATGTCAATGTAAGGATAAAAGATCATGTTTCCTCTTTTATGATCGATGAAGAGTACCATGAAAACTAAAGACCCTCGAAAGGCCCTTGGAGTACATGGTGTTACGGGATGTATTCTCCAGGAGGTTTTGAAGCGTCCCTCCTGGCTATGATTCTGCTTGGACCAAGTCTATCTTAAAAGTAGGCAAGGGATTGTTACCGTGTTTTCAGTTGGCCCCAGCGACCTGCAGAGGCAGCTGATGGTTGTCCCATATGGTTGTGCAGCTGTCAGAAAGAGCCCAGTCCTGGGATTGTGGAGAGTGGATTCTGATTCCATCTCTGTCGCTGGCTGTGATGTAGCACATGCCACATGCATCCCAAGGCTGGATACTGCCCTGTAAGTGAGCCCTAGGACTGAGAGATTGCTTCTGTGCTCCCCTGCGGTACCACTGAATGACTCTGGAGTTTCTCAGCAGGATGATTAACCCAGAGGGTGATTTTCTGATACAGTAACAGAAGTGAAATCCTCCCATGATATCTGTCTAATAGTCTCCTTGGTATACTGGGAAAAGCATGGTCTAGGCTCTGGAGACTCATGTTCCAGTGGAGTATCAGCCTTTAACTAAACATGTAACCATGGGAAATTATAGTAAAGTCCCAGGATGTCAGTTTCCTCATCTGTAAAATATGAAGGTTAGACTAAATCCAAGGGCTTCCTGGCGGTGCAGTGGTAAAGAATCTGCCTGCAATGCAAGAGATACGAGTTCGATCCCTGGGTGGGAAGATTCCCTTGAGAAGGAAATGCCAACCCAATCCAGTACTCTTGCCTGGGAAATCCCATGGACAGAGGAGCCTGGTGGGCTACAATCCATGGGGTTGCAAGAGTCAGACACAATTTAGGGACTAAACCACCACCCCCAGACTAGATTCAAGCATGGTCCCAGATCAGCAGCATCCACATTACCTGGGAGCTTGTTGGAAATGCAAATTCTCTGGCATCACCCAGATCTACCTCTAAGGAAGGCAGCCTGTGTTTTATTAAGGGTTTTCTGATATTACTGAAGTTTGACAGCCCCTGGGTTAGATGCTCCCTAAGGCTCTTTGCAGTCCCATGACTATAATGCCATATAAGTTGAGGTTGTTCCTTCATATTTACAGTATGTAAAGTCCATCCATGCTTTCATATTAACCTGCGTAGATAAGCTTTGTTAATTCTGTGGAGTAGCTTTTTCTCCTCTTTAACATTTAGGATCTTTATTGAAAGAGTCTTGAAGAGAAGAAATTGAAGGGTAGGATTAAGCTGGTCACCAAGTGCAGTCATTTCTCTAAACGCTTGTGTGTGTAGCGCTGGTTCTTGAAATCTAAAAGATCGCCATCAAGCCATGAAGCATTTTTATCCATGCATGACAGTCTTAAAACAGGTAGCTCACTTCATTTTCCCTAAAATTGTCTTTCCAATTAAAAAAGGACAAGAAAAATAACCAAAAAGGCAATGAGAATTTCAGTGATGTGTAAGGATACAATTAATAGAAGCAGGGGGAAAATTGTCTCCTCCCTGGAAAAACAACACAAAAGACTACATCTAGTCAACAGCTACATGTAAAACAGATGCCTGGACCAGTGCACATTCAGCATCAGGGTGTGTATGTTTGTTTAATGATGTCTCCACGGTCTATAGAATTAATATTTAATAGCGCTTGTCAGCAAGATTCTATACAAGGGTTTGTTCTGCTTTTTTTTAATGCTTGTTAGTGGTTGTGTCTTCCTGGGTTGTTCTTCTTTAATAGTAGAATTACTCTTCAGAGTTGCAGCAGTGTTTACCTTTCTACTTGTGACTTTGCATGGTTTGGCAGGTTAGGGGAGAGAGGGAGGCAGGCAACAGAATTTAAAAGACCTTCCTTTGTGCCTCTTCTCATCTCAGAGTCGTAAGACATAGGGAGAAAATCAGTGGTTTTTGTTTGTTTGTTTTCACTAGTGACAGAGGGCCTATTGCATAGTATTTACACTCTTGAAATTGTTGCTTTAGTATCATTATCATAGTTATCAACATAAGTCAAAGAATTAGGAGTTGTAACAGGAGGCAGATGATCCAGTTACATATATCACAAAGATGTAATTTGTTTCAACTTTTGGCTTTCAAAGTTATTGAACTTGAGTTTAACATTGAACTTTGATTTAACATTGTGATGTTAAAGCGAGCACTATTAGTCAATTACATCAGATCCCATGTCACAAGTTGGAAATGCTTGAAGATTCTGGCTTTTCTAAGAAATCATGAAGTAGAAAGTCCACTGAATGAGAAGCAAGCAACTCTGGGTCTATAGCAGTCAAACTGGAGCAGATCATGTTAAGTCTCCTCTGACCCTGCTGTATATCATCAGACCATACTATATTACCAGAAATTATAAATGCTTGCTTGTTCGCCTACTCACTTGTATGCTTACTGTTTAGCTCCTTGCTTGTTTTTCTTTCCCACTGGAATACAAGTTCCATGAGGGCAAGAACCTTGTTTGTTTTATTCAGTAGGTCCTGTGAGACTTTCTCTTTCTCTCCCAGGCACTGAGCACTGTGTCAGGTATGTGGTAGAACCATATAGATGTTAAATGAAAGACCAAATGCATGAATATGTTCATGCATGCGAGTACCATAGGCACAGGGACAAATAGGAGAGCTTTGGCTCCAGCCCTACCTGGCATAGAACTCGAGTCCCCCCCATAACAAACTGTGTAACCTTGGACAAGATAACATAGGCAATAATGTCCACCATGGAGGGCTGGAGACAGAGGCTAGAAAGTGTTCATCCTTGTGCCTGGCCTATAGTAGGTGTTCAATAAAGGTAACAATTCTGTAATTATGGTCTCAAATAAATTGTGCACTTAAAAGCAACCGTTAGGTTTTCTACTTCATCTCTCAAATTTCCGAACACATTGAAGGGCAAACAGTAGGAGCTTAATAAATATGGGTTTGACTGCTTGGTTGATAAACTCCATCGGTAAGCACAATGGGAAAAGTTCATTGCATGAATAACCCCAATCCACAGATACTTATCAAGTAATGACAATGACCAAGGAATTATGCTTGTCACTGTGTTAGCCAGACATTAGTAAAGAATTAGAAACAAAAGATCTCTAAAATTCTAAGTGAAAATCCTACGTGTTAAGCTCATTTTCACACTGAAACGTTGGCTCTGGGGTACACAGTTTCTATAATTCAAGTTCAAGCTCATACATAGGAATTTACCACAACACTGGTAGTCTTAGCAACTGTCAAGAAATAAATGTGTCTTCTGCTCTGTTCCTATGTGTAATTTGCACATACTGATTATTTATCTGCTCAAGACAGCCTGTGTTGGGTCTTTTCATCTGTCCAGCACCACACTCCTTTTACCCTATCCTAGGCCTTGTCTATCCTTTACAGACTTAGCAGTGATCTGTTTTAAGAAAAGAAAATAAATTAGTTTCCCAGGAAATCTACATGAGTATTTTCTCCAGAGAGAGTACCCCACTGAGAGAGACACAGGCCTTGGCCATTGTTTTGTTAAATAGTAATAATAACTTAAAATGTGATGACAGCAGCTGATGCCTAACTGCAGGGTAAGGACCAGTCTTGTTAGCGTTGCCTGGCAACCTATGTGTGCCATCTCAGAGAATCTGAAGGGATCCAATGAGTTAGAAGAGGTCACAGCATTGGGATCAAGGGAACTTAAAGGTCACTGAGGAGCCAGAAAACTCTCTGCTGATCTCTGCAAGATGAAATTGAAGAATCTGTGAATAGAAGTGTGTATAAACCAAATCCAATTTTTCTTTAATTTCCTAACATCCTTAAAAAGAAGGGACAGAAGTCATAGACATGTACATTTCTGAGTCTTTTTATGACCTTTTTTTAAATATTTATTTTTAAGCTTAAGAACTATAAATACTTAGAGAAATACTCAGAGAATTTCAAGGACTGGTCAAGAGGGAATCCAATCCTGAAAAGTTTTTGACATGATAAAATAAATAAATAAATAAATAAATAAAAAACAACTTCTCTGCGAAATAAACCAATCTACTTAACACTGAGATTTCAGCATTCAAGTAACAGTTTTCTGGTAAAACTTCTATGTGGCTGAGCCTGTGAATGCATGTGCAACATGCATAAGTACTAAAATTTGCACAACTTTCTATAAATCATGTTGACCAGGCTGTAATATGCCATACATTCTATTACATGTTGGAGACAGAGAAAAAAAAAAAAAAAGGCTCACTGTCTGTACCCTCAAAATATGCACAGTTCTCAGGGATGGGGAAGTGAGAGTAAGATAGGTGTATTTATGTGCATTTGTGATTCCTGTTCCAAATTATAGAGTCCACTGAGGCTTCTGGTGATGGCATGTTCAATCAGTTCAGTTCAGTTGCTCAGTCATGTCTGACTCTTTGCGATTCTATGGACTGCAGCGTGCCAGGCTTCCCTGTCCATCACCAACTCCCGGAGATTTCTCAAACTCATGTCCCTCGAGTCAGTGATGCCATCCAACTATCTCATCCTCTGTCGTTGTCCCCTTCTCCTCCTTCCTTCAATCTTTCCCAGCATCAAGGTCTTTTCAAATGAGTTAGTTCTTCGCATCAGGTGGCCAAAGTATTGGAGTTTCAGCTTCAGCATCACTCCTTCCAATGAATATTCAGGACTGATTTCCTTTAGAATGGACTGGTTGGATCTCCTTGCAGTCCAAGTGACTCTCAAGAGTCTTCTTCAATACCACAGGTTAAAGCATCCTTCAGCTTTCTTTGTAATCCAGCTCTCACATACATACATACATGAGTACTGGAAAAATCATAGCTTTGACTAGATGGGCCTTTGTTGGCAAAGTAATGTTTCTGTTTTTTAATATGTTGTCTAGGTTGGTCATAGCTGTTCCTGCAAGGAGCAAGCATCTTTTAATTTAATGGCTGCAGTCACCATCTGCAGTGATTGCAGAGCCAAGAAAATAAAGTCTGTCTCTGTTTCCTTTGTTTCCCCATCTATTTGCCATGAAGTGATGGGACTGGATGCCATGATCTTCATTTTCTG